TCCTCTCCTTTCTAGAATCCTTTCCTTCCTCCCTTCTTTCCACTCATCCTCGGTCTCTTTCCATCCCGTCCCTTGCAGTTACCCCTTCAGAGCTGCCAGCTGTCACCGAAACGTCTTAACTTTCTCGAATGAGGTTAAAAATGCGGTCTCCTTGACGGCAGATATAATATAATAGAATAACCATAACACAAACACAAATGGTGATGATGGCGATATCTTGGATGATGCCGAGTTGAAACGACCAAGAAATCGCTTTGTAATGATGCTCTTAATGGTACTAACACGACTAAAAGTGGATGAGAGTGAGCGTGACGGCGACAGGCCCAAATGGCAGGCGCGGAATGGTCACGGTTCACCAAGGGGGCGGCTGTGATGAAATTCTCGGTGGGATCGCTTGTGTATTTCAGTTATTGGGTGTAAGTGAATGGGTCTGGAGATGGTGGAAGGGGAGGTGGGGAGGTAGGTCAGTCCGTAGGGTGGTAGATAGATTGATGGGGTCGATTGATAGACAGGGAGGGAGGGAGGTAGACAGATAAATGGGTAAGGGTAGAGCGATAACGAGAAGTTGGGTGGTAGAGAGATGGAGAGAGAGAAGGAGAGTAGGAGAGAAAAAAACAGGGCAACGATAAGCGAGATTGATAATGATAACATCCAATTACTTGGGATTTTGTAGTTAAGGTAATTCTGTCTTTGGATGTCATAATTGTGATAATGTAATCTTTTAAGTTTTATTGGTTACTGATTATTACTGATTATGATCTGATGGTGAGGAGGACTAAGTTAATGATGATGGTGAATCACAAGACAATTGACGATAATGAAGGCAGAGGATGACACTAATGGTGAAAATGCAAGCGAAGAATGGTATTGAAGAAGCACCATAGATGCTGATAGATAGTTGATAGTATATAGATATATACAGTATAGATACCGATAGACAGTGATAGATAGTAGATAGATAGACAGTGATAGTAGGTTGGCGATGCACCACGACAGATAGAAAATTGAGAAAATGACGAGAAGTATGAATGAAGAGAGAGAATAATAGGCACAGATTGGGCGGTGATAACGAGTAATGCTGATTTTGATGATGAAAGTAAGGAATCAAAAATCGTGCTGGCAGTGAATGACGAAAGACGTTTAAGTGGTGATGGTAATGAGACATCAAAGGGATTCTAATAAAGAGAATGAAAGCGGAAACAACTTAAATGTTAGTGATTAACGAGAGGGAGAAAATTAATAAGGAATTAAGGATGGTTATGATTGCGAAAAAAAATCATGATTGCGAACTCAGAAAGATATACAGATTATGATGGTGCGAATTATGATAATAAGTAATAGTAATATTTGAAAAAGAAAATAAGAGTCAAAATTTCGACCTCGCTCGTTCCGCTCCGGAGAGGTTTTCCGAGCGAAAAGGTCACAAGCACCTTGACCTTTGACCCGACTTCTCTCGTGTTTTGTCTTTCATCATTTCTCATTTCCCTCCAATTTTCCTTTTCTGTTGTCATCTATTGTCGCGTTTCTTCTCCCTTTTCCTCGTCCTTTCGCCTATCAACCCTTATTCTTTTGTTTTGTTTTGTTTTTCTTTGAAGAAAAAGAGGAAATTGAAGCCTTGTTTTTGATGATACCAACCACTCTCCCTTTTGGCTTTGTTGCAGCAGCGGAAGAAAAATTGTTAGTATTATCCGTGTTTGGTTGGTGGGTTGTTTTAATAAAAGAAACAGAAATGTCTGTTTTTTTCCTATTTTATTTTTTCGCGTTTTTATGCTAGTCTTTGTTTTCTCACTCCCCCCCGCACCAACTTCCTCTGTCTTTCCCTCCCCCCTCTCTCTCTCCCTCTCTCTCTTCCTCCCTCTCTCTTCCTCCCTCTCTCTCTCTCTCTCTCTCTCTCTCTCTCTCTCTCTCTCTCTCTCTCTCTCTCTCTCTCTCTCTCTCTCTCTCTCTCTCTCTCTCCTCCCTCCTCCCACCATCCTCTCCCTACCCCCCTCTATCTCTTTTTTTTTCTTTCTTTCTTTCTTGTTCTCTTTATCTTCCCTGACTCTCTCTGAATCCATTCTTCGTTCCCACACCTCCCAAAACTTCCATTTTTACCCTTTTTATTCATTTAAACAGATATCATCGACCAAAATTAGGATACATTCGGATAAATTAATAAGTAAATAAGATAAAGTTCCCCCACCCCCCCCACGACGTGAGTCTGCGTGCTCATGACGGACCTGTCGAACTTGCACAAGACCCGTGTTGACTTTCTGCAAGTTCTCTCCGTTTGTGTGTTTTTTTTAGTTGTCGAAATGTTCTTTAAGAATATTATATATATATAGATAGATAGATAGATAGATAGATAGATAGATAGATAGATAGATATATAGATATATAGATATATATAGATATATATAGATATATATAGATATATATAGATATATATATATATATATATATATATATATATATATATATATATATATATATATATATATATATATATACTTATCGCGCGCGCGCACACACACACACACACACACACACACACACACACACACACACACACACACACACACACACACACACACACACACACACACACACACACACATACACACCGTCATCTACTCCTTTCCCATTTTGCTTTTCTTTTTTCCCCTCTTCCTCCTCCTCCCACCTTCTTTTTCGTCGTCTTCGTTTTTGTTTTCTCCATCTTCTCCTCCTCCTCCTCTTCCCCCTCCTCCTCCTCCTGCTCCAACCACCCGATAAGATAGGACTAGCCAAACTATTTAACCCGTGTTTGGCAACCTTCGTCCGATAGCCCCAAATTAAGATCGCTAGCAAAGCAGCCTCCATGTGATATCATGTGATAGCAGGGTGTTATCAGCTCTCCCACTCCCCCCCCCCCCCTTCATCCCCTCTTCTTCACTCCCCCACCCCTTCCTCTTTCCTCCTGCCCCCTATATAACCCCTTACATATTTTCCTTCTCCTGTTCCCACCCCCTCTCTCCTCTCCTCCCTCCTCCCTCCTCCCTCCTCCCTCCTCTCCTCCCTCCTCCTCCTCCCTCCTCCCTCCATCCTCCTCTCCCTACCCCCCTCTATCTCTTTTTTTTTTTTCTTTCTTTCTTTCTTTCTTGTTCTCTTTCTCTTCCCTGACTCTCTCTGAATCCATTCTTCGTTCCCACACCTCCCAAAACTTCCATTTTTACCCCTTTTATTCATCTAAACAGATATCATCGACCAAAATTAGGATACATTCGGATAAATTAATAAGTAAATAAGATAAAGTTCCCCCACCCCCCCACGACGTGAGTCTGCGTGCTCATGACGGACCTGTCGAACTTGCACAAGACCCGTGTTGACTTTCTGCAAGTTCTCTCCGTTTGTGTGTTTTTTTTAGTTGTCGAAATGTTCTTTAAGAATATTATATATATATATATATATATATATATATATATATATATATATATATATATATATATATATATATATATATATATATATATACTTATCGCGCGCGCGCACACACACACACACCGTCATCTACTCCTTTCCCATTTTGCTTTTCTTTTTTCCCCTCTTCCTCCTCCTCCCACCTTCTTTTTCGTCGTCTTCGTTTTTGTTTTCTCCATCTTCTCCTCCTCCTCCTCTTCCCCCTCCTCCTCCTCCTCCTCCTCCTCCTCCTCCTCCTCCTCCTCCTCCTCCTCCTCCTGCTCCCCCCCCCCAACCACCCGATAAGATAGGACTAGCCAAACTATTTAACCCGTGTTTGGCAACCTTCGTCCGATAGCCCCAAATTAAGATCGCTAGCAAAGCAGCCTCCATGTGATATCATGTGATAGCAGGGTGTTATCAGCTCTCCCACTCCCCCCCCCCCCCCTTCATCCCCTCTTCTTCACTCCCCCACCCCTTCCTCTTTCCTCCTGCCCCCTATATAACCCCTTACATATTTTCCTTCTCCTGTTCCCACCCCCCTCCACTTACCACTTCACCCCTTCTTCCCCATTTTCCTTCTCCCATTTTCTCTTTTCTCTCTTTATACCTTTCTTCATCTTTTCTCCCAATTCTCCCACTCCACTTTACTCCTTAATACTCCCTTTCATACCCTTTTCTCTCTTTCTCCCTCCACTCTCCTCCATTTTACGCCCCTCCACTCCCTTCTCTGTTACTTCTCTCTCTCCTTTCTTCCCCCTCCCTCCATTTCCCTTTGTTCTCCCTTCGTCCACTCCCCACCCTTCTCCCTACTTCCACTTCCCTCTCTTCTACCTCCCTCCACTCCCCCCCCCCTTTTTTTTACCTCCCTCCTCTCTCCTCCCTCCACTCTTCTCTTCTCTTCTACCCTCGTCCACCCAATCTGCCTCAACACCTCCACTTCTTTCTACCTTCCTCCACTTTTCTTCTAACTCCCTCTGCTCTCTCTTCTATTGCCTCCTCCACCTCCTCCTCTCCCCATCCACGCCCATTACCTCTCCCCATCGCCATTCTTCTCTCTACTATCACTCCACCGCCTCCTCTCGCCCCTCTTCCTTATTTTCCCTCCAGAGAGAGGGAGAGAGAGAGAGAGAGAGAGAGAGAGAGAGAGAGAGAGAGAGCGAGCAGAGAGGAGAAGAGAGAGAGTGCAAGAGAGGAGAGAGAGAGAGAGAGAGGAGAGAGAGAGAGAGAGGGAGAGAGAGAGAGAGAGGGAGAGAGAGAGAGAGAGGGAGAGAGAGAGAGAGAGAGAGAGAGAGAGGGCAGAGAGAGGAGAGAGAGAGAGAGGGAGAGAGAGAGAGAGGGAGAGAGAGAGAGAGAGAGGGAGAGAGAGAGAGAGAGAGAGAGAGAGAGAGAGAGAGAGAGAGAGAGAGAGAGAGAGAGAGAGAGAGAGAGCAAAAGAGGAAGAGTGAGTGTGTACAAGAGAGGAAGAAATAGAAAGGGAGAGTCCATATACGTCATGTATGGGCTTTGAGAGAGAGAGATTAGAGAGAGAAAGAGAGAGAGCGAGCGAGCGAGAGTGAGATAGGAGGGCTGGAGTGGCCTGG